GTACAAGTTGAAAAGCATGAAGCATACTTTTCCCAATTCTGTCATTCTGTTGGGTCTAAGCCCCAAAATAGGATTTAGAACAGAGTAGATGCCCAACAAAAATTTGTGGAAAGTGTGAATGAATGAATCTGCAGCTCTGAGCCTTCAGGCCACTCTCTATTTTTGCTAATTTGCACCAGCAGCACTCCTGATCTGGGTTGAGTCCTTTCTTTTAGTTCCCTAAATCCAAAGGAAAGTTAGTAGGTCTTCTCCAGTCTGGCCCCAGGGAATAATGTGTAAGGTCAGGCCATAGGGTCATAGACAATACCAAAGCAAAAGGAATGTAAAAATGACCACCAATCCCCCAGAGAAAAATCGACTCCTGCTACAGATGAGGAAGCCAGGTCTAAAGATAAAGGAAGAGGGATTTGCCCAGGGTCTTCTATGCCCTTTATCTTCAGATGAAAACCACGAATTTGGATGGCCCTTGATTTCTGGTTCTGGCCATCTGTTTCCTTGTACACACCCTGAACTTTACCATCAAAGTTGGTTGGACCATAAAACCTGACCTTCGCTTTCCCATAAATGATCAGATTTTACAAAATCCTAAAGAGTGAACATGGACTTATTTAACACATCCCAGAATAACAGACCTTCTAAAGGTTCATTTTGAAACATGAAAAGGTAAATAGTACAAACGTAAGGAAGTACTTAAATACTTCCTTTGAAAAAAAAAGAAAGAAAGAAAGAAAAGGAATCAGATGGAACATAACAGCCCAAAAGAATTAATACAGACAGAAATGTAAATTTAAAAGGTTAGGATAAATTTGTGTAAATTTACTTTAGATTATTAAGGGTACCCAACTAAGCTTCACTGAGTACATTCCTTTAATGACTGACTTTAAGGAAGACATGTCCTTTCACACAAAACAAAAAACTGGAAGGGATGAACCATGTAGGTGTGTAGAAAATTCTTAGGCAAAATTCTGGTTCTAAGGAAATGGAGTTTATTCACTGTGATTACAGTATGGCTCTAACCACAGCAATCTGGTGTAGTACTCCTTACACATTGATTTCCCATATCCCTACTCACCTAGAAAGCAAAGACGCTGAGGATACTGATCTAGCCTGATGCCCAATTTCCTATCCTCATTCCTGAGTCCCTCTAGCCCCATACTCTGGCCTGGTCTATTTTTTGGTCTTGCTATTGGTTTCCTAGAAAGCCATGAGGGACATAAAAGCAGAAGCCATGTCCATGTGTATCTCGTCATTGCTTTCCCTGTCCCTAGCACCGTCACGGAAATTTGGTTGGTGCTTAATAAATATTTGTTGGGTAAAGTTATTCCATTGACTTTCAGTTGGGTCTGAGGACATATAATACACCACACTGGAAAGAGTAAGAGGTATGTCCCCCTGGGCCCGGACAATGCCTATATGGTAGTGATGCCCACTCAACATGGATGCTCTCCTTAGTTCTCCCCATCTCCCTGACACTTTTGTCTCCTCTGATGGTTTCTACTACATCTTTATGACCTCTCACTCTCCTTACACTTGCTTTCTTGACACTCACTACCATCCACCTTTAGCTTTTATATTACCAGTCCCACACTGGGTGTGCCCAAACTTATCCTCTAATAATAATTTCTTTCCCTTTCTGAACAAAGATAGAACATTTCTATCTCCAAAGGCCTGGAGACAATCTCCATTTGCATGTGGCTTCTCCCTGAAATTAAATACTTACCCCTGGCCAGGTACACCCAAGAATGCCTACTCTGTCTGAAGCCACATTACACGCCACTGTCCTTTGCTCTGAGGCCTAAATTTTACAAGATGCACTTATGCCCCATGCTTTGTATGTCATTGCTTTACTTCCCCAACCTGCCCTTGAAGTCACCACGACAGGGGCCTCAAACAACAGCTTCCAGCTAGATTCAGGATCTCCATTAGCTATTAACTTCTAATATGTGGATTACTGGATTGGGCTACTTTTCTAGTAAGAATAAAAATTTGTCACAAGATCCATCTGGGACTTACTGCCTTTATATTTTTAGACCAAAGACTCCCATTTCCTAGTTGGTTTTAATAGTCAGCATTTGTCATTTTTCCTGTCATTTCAATATTATAACTGCTTTTAAAACTTTCATCTACATATTGCTTTTGTTATTTAAAAATTCCAGTATGAAAGGCTCTGATTTAATGCAACTATTTGATTCTTCTAGAATCTCTCTTTTTCTTGATGTTGGTTTTCTTTTTTTTTTTTTATGCAGAATTTAGAGTCATAACAGGAAAATTTTCCATAACTACTCTGGCAAACAGCTTAGTGTGCAATATATTTGGCCCTTCAGAGTGATGATCTTTGAAGCCTGAAACCAGCATTGCTAATAACAGAATACAAATACTGTTCAACTTAGATCCTTACCTTTCCGCTTCGAGGCGCATCTCTTCCCGCTTTTGCCTCCTGAGTTCTCTGCGACGTTCAAAATCATCCATGGTGTGGCTTCACGTCTAGGGAGACGGGAGAATCTGGACCTAACAGGGAGGAGGTAGGTCAATATCACAGATGAATCAAAGTAGTGTTTCCCATGAATCACTTTTACCTTTGGCCCCCCTCCATTTCTTCACCCTCTCTTTTCTTCTTTATTCTGAAGAAAAACACCTTAGAAGGCTGGCAAGGTGGCCAGTGACCAATTTCTGACTCCCGAGCTGAGTCCTTCGCGTGTTAAATTCAGTCTCACTCATGAAACTTACTTATTAGAGACAAATAAGTAAAGATCCCAGGATTACAGTTAAAAAATAAATAAGTTAAAACCTCAGGAGACAGACTTTGAAGATTTGAAATATTGGTAGGATCACTTAAAAGCTACTGAATGATTTTGTTCTTTGTAACTTGCTGAGCCACAGACAAAGGTTATGAAAAAGTGAACAAAGAAAGAGGAAAAGAGAAAAAGAGTGAAAAAAAGAAAAGTGGCCCCAAAAGGAATATGTAGGCACTAAGAGAAAAGGAAAAGAGGGAAAATAGTAATAAAGTAATAGAAGTATCCAGGCATAATTTGCATACTCTGAAAGAATATTAATATCAGAATGATTAAAAAAAAAGACCACAGCAATAATACCATGAATAAACATAAGTCAGCAGCATTTTTAAAAGCAGTTGCAGATGATCAAGCTGTTTTCAGAGCTCAAAAGTCCCGGCTCTTTGTGACCCAACCATTTTATCCTCTCCTACCTCCTCCGGAGATGGTTTTAATCCCAGAAAGATCTTCCCTTTCCAGCTCTTCAGCTGAGGAGCTCGCTTCCCTTGCACTTCTGTGCCATGAAGCCAAGGATTCCAGAATTCCCCTGCAGCCCCCAAACCCAAAATGACTACCAGAAAAGGGGAAGCGGGCTCTTTTTGTCCTTGCTTTGTTTACAGAGCTGTCAGTGGTTAGTTAAACTCGGCCTGGAATCTGGCATTTAAGGCCTGCTTGAAGATTGTTTCCTGTGTGGAGCGGGAGGCCTCCACTTCCTCTGGAATCCTAGACTCTCCGCTGCACTCAGAGCACAAAAAATATTTTCCAGCCCTTTCTGTGCCCACGAGACAAGCCATTTGCCCCGCGTAGGAAAATGAGGAGCTGTGCAAAACCTAAAGCCATTACCTAATGACATCTTCGCTTGAAGGGGCAAAAAGCAAAACTTGGATTTTGAAGCCAGGCTCAGGAAGCTTCTTAAGTAAATTGTCAGATTCTTTTATTTTTCAAGCATTTTTCCCCTTAAAAAACTCACAACAACAAAACTAAAATCTCTGCCAACAAAAACACAACTATACAATGTTTGCATTTTCCCCCCTTTCTTATTCCTTAGGGATTATTTATACTGCTTATAAATCTTTTAGAAATTAGAATTTTGGTGTTTATTGGGAGTTTTAAAATTGGAAGGTGTTTTTCTATCTTACTCTTACCAAGAGTACTTTCTAAGTATTTTGCTGGTTATGAAGAAAAGAATCCGTTTTCCTTTACTATTTCATTAACTATAAATGTCTCTTCGTTTTCCAGCTTGATCTCTCCATAGTTATCAGAATGAAAAACAAGTGATCTGAGCATCCCTTGAGAGGTCGTCGGGGTGGGGGGGGGGCTGTCTTTCCCCCTGGGGTGGGCTCCCGTTCTGAGTGCAGTACAGGGTGAGAAGGGCCCTGTGGGCAGTGGGACTGAACTTCGGGGACCTGAATGCTAGGTGCAATGAGAGAGTCAACTCTTCTCATTCCTTTCTTCAGTGCAGTCTTTTGTTGTAGATGAACCACTTTGCAAATAACCATAGCCTCAACAAACAGAAATGGGAGAAAGACGTCTGTCTGTAAGTAAGCAATTTCACTTTTCTTCATTTATCCAAGTAGCTTGAAAAGCATCCCCTCCTCCCTCCCCCAAGCTATGCAGTCCTGCTGGCTGCTTTGTTAGGAGCCATGGCTCGAGTTCCCTACACTACACCTCGCGTGGAGGTGCTAATAAGCAGCTAAGTCAATATCCCCGAGCAGGCTGGAGATGCACACGGTTGGCAGAGCCTGGCCATGTCTTGGGAGTACTCACAGGGAAGTGAGACTGACTAAGAGCATGTGGTCCCTTTGGCTGACCATCCTCACTGGCTCTCTCCCCACGCAAATTCTTTTTCTGCTACCCATTGTCTCCACCTACTCCTCACCTTTTATTACTTACTTGGGCACTCGTTTTTTCTTTCCCAGCCATAGATAAAGTCTATCTGTCCATTTATTTGTTCATTTGAATGCTGCTGAGTCTGTACATGGGGCACTAGAGGTGGGGGAGGGGGCCGCTGTATGATGCATCTACACAGACATGTACCTTTCTGGGTTATAGTTTGTGGACATGTGGTGGGTGTATCTGAGGGAGAGGAGAATGCACATCTGCGTACCGTGTGGTATGACTCTCCATTAGGGTGTATGAGGTTGTGCAGGGGAGGAAAGTTGTGTACGTTTATGAAAATGGTTCTCCGTTGGTCTCCCACCAGGATGGGGCTGGAGGTCTTCCTTAATCATCACACTCTTAGCCCATAGAGCTCCTCCGAACTTCTCTGGCACTGTCTTATTAAGGGGAGCCATGTCTGGGTAGAACTGTAAGTGATTCTTCCCCTTTATTGGGGAGCAGTGGCTTTCAAGTCCCCAGCTCCTGATCTCTCATTTCCTCCCCTACCCTCAGTCAATGCTGAATTCCTTTCAGCAACACTGATTGGGAAACAAACTCTCAACCAATGAGGCGATGAAATGTCAAGGCAAAGAGATTCTATAAACTGTGGAGCTCTAGAGGGTCACAAATGGACAGGTTAGCCTGAAAAAGAAGTGTAGGCTGAGGAAGATATATACCCATGAATGTGACAGGTGAGTTCTTGAAAGTTTATGAAAAATCTAAATTTTTGTATTGTAAGGGGGGGATTGTAGTCATGCTATTGAAAGAACTCTGACATGACTTCTGTGTAAAGGGCAAAAGCACTTTACAAAGGCAGATGAATCATTACCTACGGATACATGTGTCTTTTCAATACGGGCTCCCAAATACTAGATTTTCTTAAGACGGCACAATCTATGCTGCTATAATTAAGTAATAAGTCAGTGTTACAGATTCCAAATCAGTTAACACGCAGCCCTTCCTTTTGGTAATGACACCACAAAATCCAGTCAAGGGCAGGAGAACGTTGTAAGCAGATAGCTTTCTAATCCACCACTCAGTTATTAGGGGGAGAAGCCAGGGAGAAAGCTAAGTCTACCTTTAAATCATCACAAACTGAAGAGTGAATGGGTTGGGGAAAGTCCTTGGCTCTTCGGGCAATGCTACTGCTCATCTTGGAATGCATCAAGAATAAAATCTATTGTGTCAGGGACACTGGATAAGTTAATGCAGCTTCCAGAAGTCTCTAACATTTATTGAATATGTACAATGTGTTGGGTTATTTTTTCTTACTGTTTTTTTTAATTAATGGGTATTATTTCTTAAGAGTAGTTTCAAGTTTAAAGACAAAATGAACAGAAAGTCCAGAGTTCCCATATACTCCCTTTCCCCACCCTGCCCAGTCTCCTGTATGTTTGTACGGAATTGTGTAATCCCCCCCCCCCAAATATATTGAAAACCTAACCCCTCAGAATGTAACCTTATTTGGAAAGAGTGCCTTTGTATACGTAAGTCAAGTTAAGATAAGGTTATTAGAGTGGGCTCTAATCTAATATTGCTGGTGTTCTCATAAAAAAGGGGAAATTTGGACACAGGAGCAGACATACACAAAGAGAAGATAATGTGAAGACAGGGAGAATGCCATGAGAAGGTGGAGGGCAAGGGGCACCTGAGGGAGCAGAGCTGGGAGAGAGAGATGGAACAGCTTAGGGACAGGGAGCCCTGCTGACACCCTGATTTCAGATTTCTAGCTTCCAGAACTGTGAGACAACGCTTATGTTGCCCTAAGCCCCTCCGTTTGTGGTACTTTGTTATGGCAGCCCTGGAAAACTAATACAGCCTAATTAACATCTTATAGCAGTGTGGTACATTTGTTACAACTGATGAACCAATACTGATACATTATTATTAACTAAAATCCATAGATTACATTAGGTATCACCCTTGACGTTGTTTCATGTATCAACCATTATAGTATCAGAATAGTTTCACTGCCCTAAACAGGTTTTGTTCTCCATCTATTCACCCTTCCCTCCCTCCCCTGCCCCAACCCTTGGCAACCACTGATCCCTTTACTGTTTCTATAATAACTCTGCCTTTTCAAAATGTCATATAGTTGAAATCATACAGTATATAGCCTTTTCAGACTGACTTTTTGCACTTAGCAATATGCATTTAAGTTTCCTCCAGGTCTTTTTGTGGCTTGATAGTGCTGCTGAGCCACTTAAAAATATGTTAAATTATTTTATCTACATAATAAATATGTAAAGTAGCTATTAAAATCCCCATTTTACAGAATTTCAAAGTGTGTGCTCTTAGCCACTTATAATATTCTTGGACTAATCCACTATTTTCCTCTAGGAATTGTTTTCCCTTTCAGGAAATAAGCGAGAGTGCCCCAGGAAAGTTCTGAGAAGACTACTGTCAATGATATCTGGTCTAATTCATTGGACCATATAAACTTAGGTAAGAAGTGATCTTAAAAATTACCCATGCCTCCTCAATTGTACACCCATTTGGTTTAAATAAATAGAATTATCATGTCTCAGAGATCTCAATTAAATTAAGCCTCGCAAATATTAATTAAGCCTCTATTATTTTATTGTTACTTCTTTTTAATACTCATAAACCAGGATGCTCAGATTCTGGACAGCATCACAGCATACTTCTCTTTGTGACGTTAAAGTTTCTTCTCTTGCACTGCACCTTCCTTATTATACACCTTCCTTTTCTGACCACTATAACCTCACCCCCAAGATAATTATTTCTCTTTTATTGCAAGGAACCCTAATCTTTCAACACTCATAACCATTATTAGACATATCCTTTATGACTAGTCACCATTATTTACCCACTGCAAATTTTACGGTCCAACTCATTCAGTGAAACCCCCCCCACACACACACACAAAAATTATACCATCAATATGCAATAAGCATTTACTGAGCATTTACTGTGGTGCCAAGTTCTGTCACACGCCCTGGGAATACAACAGTGAATGAGACTGAAAAGGTCCCTGTCCTCTTGGAACTTGTATTTCAGACTTCCTTGCTTCTTTAAACTTCTACCAGGTCTATCACACCCATCTTCAATTTTGAATCACAACTATCATCTGTTTTCTGGTTTTTGTTCTTGAGATTCAGGGCTTATAGGAGACAGTCAGGAACCATGTTTCGTCTGCCTCAAGGGTTTGTGTGAATTTCAGCTGGGTGCTCACTGTGGCTCAGTGATGCTTCTCTTCATCCTACATGTACTGGATAATTCCTGGGTGTCACGTATCCCAGCAGATTCCTCACCTCTGCCCTTCAAATGATCTTCACTCACCTCAATCCTTCCATCGTCTTTCCCCACAAACTCTTGGTGAACAGTGACCTGGACTCACACTTAGGAATCTGAAATGAGGTACTTGGACTAGGTAAGGGCCAAGGTTTCATCCTACTCTATATAATACTATGGTTCCATGCCTGCTCTCCCATCCACCAAAGTTGGATGCATCAAACATGATATGTCCATGTTTCCTCCTTTCCAGGTGTAAATGATATCTAAGTACATTCTCTTCTAATTTTCTAATTTAGACAGCATTAACCTTCCTTTCAAGCACATTGTCCCATGGCATCCTAGATAAAACTATTTTATTGCTTCTCAACCACGTCATTCAATTTTCTTTCTCTGCACTTTTAATTCACATATCACATCCATCTGGAACGGGCTCCCCTTTTCATTATCCATATTCTATTTAGTCAAAAATTCCTGGCTCAGATTTCACTTTTTCATAATGGCTTTCCTGAGGACTTTTGGTAATTAATAAATGTACTGTTTTGCCACAGCTTAACTGTTCTAACTAGTATTTAAATATTTTATTGATATCATATTTTCTGTATATTTTCATGCTTTAGGCCACTTATGAATAGATAACCATTGCTTAAAAAATCTCTTCATTATCGGGACATAGTAGGCACTCAGGAATTATAGCTGATTTGAACCATTAGATTTTTATTCTAGATTTTACCATTCTGAGTATGGAAAATGTAACTCAAGCTGATTCATCTCTATATTTTATTGACTGATCAGTGTTTACAAAGTGAATTAAAGACTTTGGTAATAGACTATATATGAATCTCAAAAGTTATATAAACCCACATTTGCAGTAGTTACACAGTAAATCTGGCAGTGTTTTCTTTCTGACTGTAGAAAATGAACTTTTGTCCTTCTTAAAAAAATTCAATTTATCAACCTGCTTTGCTCTTTTCTGAACAGAATGGTTCATTTGGGACTCAAAAACCAAATAAACACACCGATTGTAACATACAGTTTGGACTTAACTTTAGCTCAACCTTCACCATCTTGCTCCAAAAATTTGTGCTACTTAAGAAAAAAAAAATACATGCAATCACCAAGGCACATTTGTCAAGACCAGCAACACAGAAATAAGAATGAATGGGATCAACCTGAGGAGCTCTACCTTCTCAGGTTGTTTCTGTTCTCCAGTCAGTGGAATCCAGAACACGAAGCCACACTAAGAGCAGACTAACAGGTTATGGCCTGTATTTTTTTTTTTTTTCCATTCCTGCTCAGTCTTTTATCATTATCTTTTCTCTATTTGTATTTCTCCATTTGCAAAACGCTGATAGACTTAACATGACTAAAATCAATGTCTTTGTGGCTTCTCTTCACCTTAGCAAGAGTGGGCAGTTTGGGCATTTTAGATTTATGAAGTGATGGTGTTTATGTGCACTGACTCCCAACACTTGGGAAGACAACGCATTTAGGGACTTCAGGTCGCATCTCAGAGTGTTATCACAAACACTACTGCTCCATTTGGAGCACTTCAGATCTCTAGGGCAATCACTGTTTGATGCTCAGGTAGAAGAGTAGGTTTACCTCCATTTAAAGAAAGAAGGCTGAGATGTATACAACTTTGGCACCAGGTCCTGAACCACAGCCCATCAATGGAAAACCACCACTGGCATTTAGAATAATCTCTACACCATTCTGAGAAGAGTGAGGAGAAGTGAAAATGCAGAACACAATTGCTTCTGTGCCCTTTTCCCCCAGAGTTTAAAATACTTTTCCTTGGCAAACTCAAAGAAAATACACTGAAAGACACAGATGAATACTAAATCAGAACAGGCCTGGGGCCACTTCTGCTCTTGGCCTCTAAAAGGCATAGGTGTGAACGCTGAGGCAAAGATGGAACTTCTCCACCAACCTGTGTCTGTGTGAGGACCAAAAATGCATAGCTTGGCCAGAAGAAATGTAGAAATGTGTTTTCTAACTGTATGCCTGATAACAGAAGCTAATTCTGATGTAAAAGGGTGGGGTCCTTGCCCCAACAGAACTATCCAACAATAGGAAGGGCTGCTAAGAAAGTGTGAACCCCTATTATTGAAGAGTCAGGTAGAGGTGAAATGGCCAGCTATTTAGGGCTGTAGTGAAAGATAGTTTTTAAGATATATGTAGATTTATATGTCAACAAGATAGCTGGCTAAGGCTCTGGGTCTAGGTGGTGGTGGTGGTGGTGGTGGTGGTTGTTTTTAGTGGGGAAGAGGAGAAAGGGAGAGGCAGTGAATCTTAAGCAGGACGCATATCCAGCAATCTCACAACCCTGGGATCATGACCTGAGCCAAAATTAAGACCCAGCTATCTTGCTAACACAGGGTATTAGCACAGTGAGACAGTTTGGATGGCAGGCTATATATCCAGTTACATTGCTGGAGACAATTCAAAGTTATGTGCTAGAGGTGCTTTGCTAGTGGTAACAGGTTTGCACATGAAGGACATGCTATTATTAATTGGGGACTAATCATTCCTTAGTGAATTTTTCAATTCTATTCATCATGATCCGCAAATACATTTATTGTGTTCTAGAATTATGAAGCAAGTTAGAGGCTATCTTCTAGGAGTTTATAATCTTAAGTGAAAAGCTTTGAAACCAAACCAAGGGACATTATTCATGATATCCCCTGGACATAATAGATAAACAATTAAACATATAAATCTACATAGAAGTCAGTTAATAAATTGAAAAGTGCCTAGACTGTTTCCTCTTTCCTTTCACATGAATCATGTAGGTGGTAGTTGTAGTTGGGAGAGTTCTGGACTTTTCTTCACATAAGAAATGACTCACAGTGTAGGTTTAAGACTAGCCTAAGACTACAAGGTCCCTGAACCACTTACTCACTGACATGGATTTGTGCGGATACCCATATTCTATTTCTATTGGCTTGTATTTGGATTTCTAGGTACATATCTGTCTTTCCTAGAAGATGGTAATCTCCTTGAGGTTATTACTCATTTTTGTGATCCTTCGAAATAATATTTCAGGGGCCGATCAAATAGTCCCTTAACGGACTAGTTTTTCTCACAGTCAGCAAAGTTGAATACTTGTTGAATTGGAATGGATTCCAGGGCATTTCTTTCACTGCACTTAATTGGTAAACAGAGGAACTTGGCTGAGGCATTTTCAAAAGGCCGTGGGTGTCTCCAGGCCAGCTTTTAGTACTTTAGTACTACCTTGGGGGTGGTGGTGGTTCACTATGGAGCTCTATTTTATGTTGCGATTTGTAGCTATGGTTGTTTTCCTCTAGTGGAAAAGAACCTTGTCTTAGAAAGACATTCTGGTTTCAGGAAGAGGCATTTGTAACTGAGGGAATAGGCTAGTTCTGGGACGTTCAAAGAGAAAGAAGGACAAAGAAGACATATGATGAATAAGAAAAGAAGAGAATCGGGGTTGGGCTGAAACTCTCTAAATTGCCAAGGCCTTTGGAGATTCCTTGCCACTCCTCCATCATAATTAGAAAATACTGACATTCAGAGCCGATTTAAATGCTTCCATCAGTCTAAAAAAAAAAAAAAAAGTGTTGCCTGATTTTGCTCTCTAACCATGCTCAGTAATTAGAAACATAAGGCACTGTTCTGGATGTTTGCTTGGGAACCCACCTCTCCCAAGCCTGGTGTCATTACCCATTGGCTATAGGACTTTTATCTTTTCTCACCATCTCTCTCAGGAGCCCCAGCCCAGGTCACAGGAAGAGTGTGAGGTTGCCACGGGCATTCCTGGAAAAACCTGGAGACCTCCGGCGCCACCTCAAATCCTAAAACGCACAGAAGAGACTCATTTTGCCTGCCTGCTTCCTTGCTGGAGCTCCATAAATCTGCATTGCATTTGGAAAGCAGTAGTTCAAGTATGGTAAGATAGGTATTCAAACCAAAAGAGTCAAAGGGAGGACGTGGGTAACAACCAGCTTGAAAGGACATCCTTTTTGTTTAGGAGAGCAAGAAAGCTGTTCTGACAGCTGATTCTAGGGTTCCTCAGCCTCTTGCTGGAAAACCTGTGCTTTGCAAAATGCAGGAGGAGAACACAATCTAGGAAGCAGCAGCGGTGGGTTTTTACTTCTGACAAAATCCACAAGGAAAACAGAGAAATACTTGTAATCAAGGACTCCAACTCAACAGGCACCTCGCTTGTCCAATTAAAACATGTGGCAACCACCTGCTAAGCATCTTGCAAAAAATGATACCTTCTTGTTTTTCTACCTGATCTAAAGTCTCTTTGGAGAACATGCGCATTTCCCAGTTTTTCACACTCAAACAATGCTGTCCACGCTAGGTATGAAGATGACTAAGCAATTTTGTAGTAAGTAACAAAGCAAGTCTTGCCAATTTTGGAATAATTAAGTTTCTGCCGTCTAATATAAACAGTTCCAAGAACTACATGCAGCCTACCAAAAGTATATATTACAAGTAGTCAACACTGTGGCCAGCTGGCAGACAGCTCAACCTAGTAAAGCAGAATTGTTCAGAATTCAGAGTATTATTTTTCTTCTCTCCCACTATTTTTTCTGCATCCAACTTTGTTTCTTTGGGAATCTTTTCAAGTATACAAAGCAAGAAACTGTTGTGGAATTGCACCTCCGGTAAACGAATGAGCATTTCTCTTGAGATCTCCTGGAACACACAAGTCATTCCCATTTCAGCCCTGTCTACGCAGACAGCCAAAGCAAAATGGAGCAAGTGAATCTACTTTGTTCCCACTCAAGTTGAAGTGTTCCTGTTTTGCTTGACCATAAGAAAGGTCTACAGTGACCACCAGACAAATGAATATGCACATTAAACTGTATGTCCATTGGGCACTGAAAAGATCTTCTTTCTGACCATAGATCCTTGTACTGCCTTTACCAGGTAGCTTGGTGGGCCAGAATTTATTGCTAATAAGGCTGAAGTCATAGATTAATACCACCAGGAATGAGTTAACTGTTTAAGAGAGAAAAAAAATCTTAAACTATTGCCATGTGCTATGACACTGATCTTGGCCAGCTATAATGGCAGATGTGGCTCAACAACTTCAACTTGAGAAAATAGAGATGGTTAGACTAACCCATTCCACCATGACCTTCAATAGAGTGTATGGTCAAATGAGTGTGAGTGTGTCATCACACAAAAGGTCTCTGCATATTCAACTGCATTACAAGCCCTACTGTCTTCTTCACTGTGATTAAATTCATACATAAGCAAAAGTGGTTAAGGCTCTGCAACCATCATCACGATGAAAACTTTAGGAAAAACATTCAACAAATATTGTGAAGTAATATCCGTGTACTAGCCACCTTGCTTGGTGTGGCAAATAAGTTGTGAACACGACTACTCTGCCCTTGCTGGGCTTATAGTCTGATGGTAGAGATAGGCAATAAATAAATAAAATACGAATTGGGATAAGGGTTAGAAAGGAAAAACACAATGCTCCGAGAGAGAGCGACAGGGGTGACCTAATGCTTTTCTTTGGACTAAAATAGGACATAGGCAGTAACAGCTTTTTCAAACAGGAATGATATTAATACACATACAGACATGCATTCATAAAGAGAACGTGAGTTTATAAGACCAGAGTTTATATTCATTAAACAACTACATATATAAAGACATCTGTTTTGCGCCAGACACTCTTCTGGGTGCTGATAAATCAAACTTTTCTCTACTTGTCTCTCTTGAAGAAGTGAGTGAGGACTAAAGTAGCGAGTCAGGTTTGAGGGATGATGAACTATTCTCACCCCTTCTTTCCCACCTCAGGTCCTGTGTAAGTAATATAAAAATAATGATATATCAGATGCTGTCTGCCACAATTTATATAGACATAGAGAATCCACTTAAGATATCAACTTCACGTGGCTAAAGTAGGAGGCAGGAATGAGGGCATCTTTCTGGAAGCCATCCAGCTCAGTGACCTTCTGACAAGAAAAGCACGTTTCCCACCCACCATTAAGCCAAAATTTGCTGACTGAAACAAAGCTGGTCCACTTTGTTTTTTCAAACTTTGGTTCAAGATTCCAAGAAATGAACAGTCCATAATAAATTTACCCCAGTGGCAGAACATCTCACAACCAGCTTTTCCCCTTTGAATACCACAAACAGACCTTTCATTTGTTGACACACAGCCCCTGGACATTCAGGAAAACAAGATGTTCTTTTGCTGCTTTTTAAGTTAAATGCATTTAAGTCAGGGTCTCAGCTGAATTTCAAAAACAGATGTTACAGATGGGGCTGAATTGACCCCAGCAATGACAGGCTATTTTAACTTGAACTTGAATATTCTTTGTTAGCAAGAGGAGCAATCAAAGATGCCTTCAACTGGAAACAGGAGCAACCCAAGGTTTACTACTGTCTCCATTCAGTGACGGCCTATGGGTCTGGGAAGCTGTTGGCCATGTGGGACTCCTGGTTTGGGGAATAAGCAGGTGAGGGATGATGACTGGGAGGTTTACATGCCTTGGTTTTGAAGGGGCTAGTGAGGAAGAATGATCTGCTTCCCACACGCCACCATCCTGCATCTCTGGAACCCCCAGAGGCCCTCCATGAAATGGCTTCACTGCACCCATCATAGGACTCCTCTCCCGACCCCACCCTCAACGTGAAAACACAACTCACAGCCCAGGCCACACTCCTTAGTCCTGCAATAATGCAGCCCTTGTTTCTGCCTCTGGGCCTTTGTCGCTGCTTTCTCTCTCTCATTACCTGAAGTGCCCTCCACTTGGAGGAGAATGGATGCACCCCTAAGAGCATTCAAATTCAAAAAAAAAAAAAAAAAAACCACCCTTGCTGGGCAAGAGCAGCATATATATACAGGTCAATGTGGGGCTCAGGTTGCCAGTTTGTGACCCCTGATTATAGGGCCATTCATTAATGGCTGATCAAGCTAGGCACTGTGAGGAGATGTAAGAGTAAACCCACAAAAGAACCCATATAAGCTTACAGTCCACATGGAGAAGTTTATTTACTTAGCCTACTCTGTACCAAGCACAGTTCTCAGAACTTTTTAAGTATCAATTTAAATCTTCATAACAATCCGTATTGTCTCCATTTTACAGATAAAAAGGCCCAGAGAAGGTGAGTCATGTCTCCAAGGTAACAGAGCTAGGAAATGATAGAGCTGGCATTTACATCCAGGCAGCCTGGCCCCAGAGTCTGTGCTTTTAATCACAGAACAATGCTCCCATCTCAAAAGACTTGTAAGTGGATAATATAAGGTAGACTGTGGCAAGAACCTTGATGATGAAATGACCGGTGATTGCCTGGAAGGATCTATGCTCCTGTAAAAATGCACTTTAGTAGGAGCTGTTTCCTGGATTTGGCCTACTCCATGTTAGGGTAAGCTCATATGTGATGCTTATTAGTGAAGTAAAAATGAATCTCCTGTGTTTTTTTTTTTTAAAGATTTTATTTATTTAACAGAGAGAGAGAGCACAAGCAGGGGGAGGGCAGAGGGAGAAGCAGGCTCCCTGCTGAGCAGGGAGCCCGATGTGGGACTTGATCCCAAGACCCTGGGATCATGACCTGAGCCGAGGGCAGATGCCCAACCAACTGAGCCACCCAGGTGCCCCTGAAATCTCCTGTTTATGTTCATTTGTGTTTTGGCAAACTGATGTATTATTTCACTTAAGTGGGGTTTACTTTAGAAAATAAGCTGAATTCATTCTAAAGTCTTAAAAAATAAAATACAGTACTTCACACTTTGACTCTTTGCTTTTTAAAATTTAATTAGCTTTAAATGTGAAGATCAATCATCTAAGTTTATCTGTTTGTGTCGGTCTCGGGGCAGAGCCACATTTGTGGGATGTGAAGATTATTCGGGAGGGCTTCTTTAAGAAAGAGAATACAGTTTTAAATGTAAAAAAACATTCGCAGAACGGTTGTGGCAGAGACGTATCCAAGGGAGGGGCCCTACAGTTTCAGCTCCATTGGTTTCATGGCAAATCAACTTTGGATTTCTCACCTTAGGGTCTTTTGAGCATTCCATAAAAATGTCACAGTATCCTTACTTTGCTTTTAATTTTCAATTTCTTTGAAACTACAGTTATGTCCCCCTTTAAAAAATGTTTCCTGAAAACCAGAATTTAGGAAACAAATAATATTGGGCGCAATTATGCATCATTCTTCAAAGCAATTTGCAGCAAAAAATTACAGATATAGCCAGTGCATTGCTTGTTTTGCCTATAAACCACATAATTAAGCATGACAGGTGGACAAGAGTGCAGAGAAATTTAAAATATTATGACTCTTTGCCAAGATGAGGCCACTGAAAAACAAACAAAAGTATTGGAAATCACAATTTACGTCAATGAATGCATTATTGGATTCACCAAATTTTCCATTGCATTGAATAAAGAAATAGTCCATTTTGTAGGAGAGGATGAAGGAACACTAGAATTGCTAATATAGCCCAGACCTAACATAGCATCTGAGATGGAGAGGGTCCAGTTCGATATACTGTAGAAACAGTAAATTCATGAGTAACTGAATATATGTGTTTGAGGAACAAGAAAAAGGACAGATGGTGCTAATGGTGGTCACAAGCCTCCCCCTTAAGCCCCAACTTACAACTGCATCTTTTATTTCTAAACCATTAGCCACATTCTGAGGGAGGCAGTTAGAAATATCCCCAGAGTCTCTCATTACGACAGATGTCTTTATGTTTATACATGGTATAAGTCTGTGATGGAATCATATTCACAATCATGGGTATAATATACTTATGGAAGGAATTCTTTGAAGAACTTGGAGAAAATGTTTTTAGAAGAGTTCCTTCCTTCAGTCTCATCCTGTGTGTATATTCTCTCTCCCCTCTGCATCCTCTGGGTATGATAAACACACTTTCCCCAGTCTGAGGATGCCCCATTCCATGATATATCCTTTCTG